GACTTAGTCCTTCAGTGAGCTGGGTGATGTTGCCGTGTGCTTCCTCCAGGCACCCTGCACTGGATGTGCTGCTGCAGGTGAATCCTCACTACTGGTGGTTATTAGGCAGTTTCCCTCCTTTCTGTGTGAGGGGTCTACCCTATCCTTTGGTAGTGTGTTATAAAACAAAGAAGTTGGATTGATTGTTGCTGCTCTTTTAAAGCTTAATTTCTTGCTTTGTATCCTGGAATATAAAAGTGTTACGCCAGTCTAGGTCATAATGTTATTTAAAATAGCTTTTTCAGAGTGTTTGATCTGTGTGCTCCTGTGTCAGGGATATATCTATCTATTTATATTAATTATTTTGATTGCCCAGATAGCAGGGAATAATCAGAAAAAAGAGCATGAATGTTTTTCTGTATGATGACATCTGAGAGGTTGGTTTCTTGGATTTTTTTTTTTCTCTCCAGAGTATCTTTACTGAGCAAGAGTTGAATATTATGATGTGAAATAATACAGCAGGAATTGGTATTTTTATTAAATTTGCAAATACTGAATTTACAGATGAGGCACACAGCTCTAATACTGAATGTTTTTCTTCCCATGGAAATATTTTTACTTCTGGCTTCCTTCCTTCTTTGAAGATTGAGTTTTTAATGTAGCAAATACTTGAGTGAACTTCTCAATTCATAATCAAATTGAGGGGCTCCTTCCTCCACATCTTGCTGTTTCTTTGCCTTTGAAAAAAAATTGCTTTTTATATATCTTCCAAGCTGTCTCCCCAAGCCCTTTTAATGAGTTGTTTATAAATGACTGCTGTTTTTATAAAATTGAGAATTAACAATGCTGACAAATGTGCAGCTTCAAATTTGAGTTTGGTTGTCACTGATCTCCACCTTCAAAGCTGTCAGTGCTTAATATTGTTTCCCAAAGTATTTGATAGTTTGAGATTGCTGGTTTTTAATTGGGAAATATCAATTTCTTTGATTATGTAGTCAAGTGTTATCCCACTCTTTCCTGATTCTCTTTCAAGACCATAATTAACGAGAATTATAAACCAAAGCAAGCCATACACAATCAGAAATCAAAACATGGGGACCAGAAGAGTTCCATAATAAGTAAGGAAGCCATGCACCATAATTACACATCTGCCTAACCTCTTTACCCCCAATTTGCTCATTTTGACAGAGAGCTGAGTAGCTGCCTCTGTTAGGAGGTCTGACCTTTCTCCTGTTCTCCCACCCTGTACTGTCTCCTTCTACCTTTATTTTGTCCCCTCTCCATTCCAGCATGGTAGTCTGAGCCTATTTCTGTAACTTTTTGAGTATTACTGTTATTGCTATAGAAAGTAATTGTCCCATGTTGTATGCAGTATATATCTCACATGTGCAATGTTTGTTTTTACTTTGAAATCCATGGTCAATGTCTTCTTTCATGGCAGAAAAGAGGGGATCTGATGATAAAAAAAGTAGTATGAAGTCCAGTAGTCGAGAAAAACAGAGTGAAGACACAGACTCGAAGGAGAGTGAGACTAAGAATGAGGTCAATGGGACCAATGAAGACAATAAATCTGAAGGTGACACTCAGTCCAATTAAAACTGATCTGATATGACCTCAGATCAGACAGAGGTAAGTGCATTATTTCAAACTTTGATTAGGGCTTTTTGTTACTGTTTAACAGTGCAGCGTAAGTATGCACAGATGAAGATGGAACTAAGTCAAGTAAGAAGACAAACTAAAGCACCTTCTGAAGGAAATGACAGTGTAGTCCTGCAAAACGTTTTGAGGTACATTGTTTTGTCTCAGCTCTTTTGTAGCAGACTCATGCCCCCATTGGTGTGCCTCTTTGGGACATATTTGTAATATCGTCACCATAGAAAAGTTAATTATCCTTTTTTATTTTTAGGGATTTTGTTATCGTTTTTTTTTTTTTAATTGAACTGGTTTTGTATTTAAGTCCATATTGTGTTGGTACATCAGCAGAAACTTTTGCTTAAATACTTAATATTTGAGGCACATGTTGGACTACTTTGTTTTCATATAAACTGCTAGTATTTCTTTGTCAAGGATGTTTCTAGTTTTTTTGCTTTATTGCCTTGCATTCTAATGCAGTTTGTTCTGTAACTCGAGAGCCAGTAGCATTGGATTGATGGAAGTGTAGGGTTTATGAATTATTGCAGCTGACTACCATACCTCACACAGCGTTGGTGTTGTGAGCGGCCCATGAAAAGCCAAATTAAAAATCAAGGATTCAGTCAAACTAAGCAGGTACTCATGCCAGGTACTCCTTTCTCTACCCACATCCATGTTTGAATGCTGTTGCCTGTAATCTTTAAGCTTACTGTTGTGTTTTTGATTTTGAAGCTAGTGAAAAGGACTTTTTGTGTATTGTGTGAATACTGTAAATCTGATGTTAACAGAATGGAATTTTCTTTCAACTGTGTGTAGGGATGCAGTGCTGCCCAGAATTAGATATCTTTAAAGAGTTTAAAATGCAATAAACACTACATAATATTCGCCTTGTTACTTTCAATGCAATTCAAGTCTTTAAGAGGTATGTGCTTAATATTTCCTACTGTGTAGGAGACTTTGCAGTCAGCCATAGCACAGAAGAGTGAAATGGCTGGTAACAGGCTTGTAAGGCAGATGTAAATGCAGAGACAGATGCCACCAAATGATGGCAGTGTTGATGGCAGGAATCTATGCTGGAAACTATTTGTGGGAAATGAAGCAGCTAAGCAATAGGCAATTACGTATGGAAAGGATAACTTGAAGTTTTTTCCCCACTCTTGACATAGCTTTCTTACAGAAGGTCTCTAGTTGTATTCCTGAAATAAGGAACTAACAGTGGAGGTGACAGCTGATAAATGAGCTTCTTGCAATATAATTTGTTACTGTAGTTGCATTATGTATGCTAGGAACTCTTAAACATTTAATGTTGGTATTAAACCATTAATGCTACATCATTGCTTCTAATGCCAGTCATGTTCAATGGTGATGTTTTTGTAGAGTTAAGATGACAGCTAACAACTGGGCGAGTGTATAGGAATGGTAAACAAAATGCTCCTAATGCAGTCTAATCGTCTGTTCTCCCAAAATTTTGCATTATAGGACTACTGTGTGAAGAGTCTGCGAAGACAGCGGAAGACAGCTTAAACTGAAGATCTGCTTTTAAATGAGGTGAAAGAAAGCTGTAGTGGCATAGAAAAATATAAAGTTGAGTTAGATTTTTTTTTTTATTAAATTTAATTCAGGACTGGTGTTTCCTTCCAGAGTTCAAAAAGATGTGTTGATAATAGCACATATGCTACTGAGAATATAAGTCCTGTATCTTTTTTTTTTTTCTTTAAGACTTTTTAAGATAAGAAACCAACATAACCTGAACACATCGCTTGCTCAGTGTTTAATTGCAAGTTTTCATTCTTGGACTTTAAAACACAAGAATAAATGTTTAGTATTTGTGTGAATTGAACTAAAATGAATCCCATTTTTACAACTAAGCAATTCCTAGGTTCTTGATATACGAGAAATGGAAATAAAGTATCTTTGAATTTCTGTTACAAATTTGTCTCTGTCATTGAACATTTAATATTAAATAAGCTTCTTTCCTAATAAATTTCTCATGTCTTCAAGCTTAGCTCATTAATTTGGATAGTTGTTCTGTGCTGTTTGTGGGTTTGGGTTTTTTTGGTGCCATCAAGATTTAATTTCAGGCTTACTTTTGCAACAGTTAGATGCTGTTGGGTTCAGCGTCTCCCCAGAAAACACCTTTTGCTGCAGTTGGTTAAGAAATTACAGAAATCTTGTAATAAAAATGGCAGTATTAACTGTTTATAAAACAGTTCAACTTCCACAGCATGTTTAGAGAGATGCCAGTGCTGAGGCTGGTGTTCAGATTGCTTCATATTTGCATTGTATTGGTTTGGGGTATTGATTAACAACCTTGTGCAGTTGGTCAGAACAGACACACAGGCAGGAGATGTGCCTAATGCTTCCCTGTGAAGCTGTAGTGCTTCTTTTGGAAAAGAGCTGCGGTGTGTACTAGTCAGTGCTGTGGCTGTCAGGCAGTGAATTTACATTCCTTAAAAAGAGCATTATCTTTCCCATTAGTATTCAGGCCTTGACTGTCTATGTAACCAAAGTCAGACATAGACAGAACAGCACTGTAACTTGTGCTGATTTATTTGGCCTGTGTGTGGACTTGCACTTGGGAGGAATCTGCATCTTGGTCCCTCTGGTCAGTAGTGCTGGGTTTTGATACCACATGCAGACAACCATGTTTCTTTTTTGACTTTTATTGTTCTAAAGCAGACACAGGAGCACAGGGGGTGGAGACTGGGTCTGGTGGTGTTTTTGGGAAAAAATATGGTGGGAGCTATTGAAATTTTAACTAAATTCTAATTGGAGACATTAGATGAACAGCCTTCTCCTTTTGAAACTTGTGAGACAGGACTCAGCCTCTTCCTGGATGTGTTACTTCTTTCAGTGGTGAAAATGTTTGTCTTCTACCTTCCACTGCAATTACTTGTTACAGGATTTGCATTTCCCCTTACTCTGCAAAAGTAAAAATGATAAAATGAGGAACCTTGTAGATTAGCCTGGGATTCAGATTCTCACATGTCTCATAGTGGAGTCTTTAATGCTTTGAAGATGAAGGAACATTCTTTTTTGCAGAGCATAGGAAACGCAGTGCCTTTCTGGCCTTCAGATTTGACTGTACAAACATCTCCACAGAGGTTAATCTTTGTGAGAAGTATCTTCAGGGCTTAAGCCCAGGATAAACACCATCACAGATTTTCTAGGAATGCTTGGCAGAAGGCAAGTACCTGATTTCAGTAAGCACCTCTTACATGCTTTCTCCATACTGGTTTTGACAGCCTGACAGTCTTTATTGGGTGTTTAAGATGTACTGGCCTATGATTTTTTCAAAGTTGCATTAAAATTTTAAGTGTCCTGTCCACTCTAGAGTGATCCTCTTCCCACCCTTCTACCCCCTACCCTGAAAAAGGAAGAGATCAAAGTAACTTGAAATGACTGATCCTTTATTATAAAGTTAAGAGTAGCAATGTCAGTTCAGTACAAGTTTGTAGTGCAAACAAAAGGCGTCCTTGGAAGACCAGTAAGTTTTGTAAACTTAATCTCAGTTGACATTCCAACAGTTCCTTGTTCAAAGAAAAAGCCCAGCAAAAAACAGCTAACATGACTAGTGTGCCTTAGAGTTTATTAAACTGAATAAAACATACAAAAATACTTCTTTGAATGCATAGATACACTGTTATTATAGTCAGATTACAAGTAGAGTTTAAGTCTTATCACATTAACTGTTACTCTCCAGTGGAAAATAGAGAAATAAAGCTTTTAAAACAGCTGCCCTTTAGTAGAATGCTCAGTAATTAGTGGAGACAGTCCTTACACTGACTTCCTAAATAAAGGAACTGGAAACAAATTAGATACTCTTACTAATTTTGAGCCATTTAACCACTACTGTTTTTCAGACAGTTATTGCACATAGTCTGAGCTAGCCCCCAAGCTATACTGGAGAGATAAGTAACACAATTGTTAAAGTAGAACTTTCTTTCCTGTCTTACAAGAAAAAGCAGGAGCCTTAGTTAAGAAGTTTTACTTCATACTGTGCCACAGTCTTGAGCTTCCCAGGAGTTCAATCTGGCATTAAAGTAGCTCAGCTCCTGGCTGGAGAAAAGCCAGGATTGAGAATGGGAAGTTAGCAGGGTTGAGGTGATGGGTGTGGAACATGGAGGAAAGGATGATAATTATTTTGACTGAAGTAAGGAAGAATTTTAAGCCTAAGTAACTTGGTGAAATACCAGAGTGAGGTATCTCCTCTGCTGACAGAAGAGGTTTCTGTCTTTTCTTGGTGTGCAGCAGCTTGAGGGAATCTTCCAGGGTAAAGCAGCACACAGGGAGAGTGGCAGCCATACTGCTTCTACCAGAACATGGTGCTGTCCTATTTATAGTTTGACTGTCAACATTGCAGTCCAGATCAACAACAAACACTGTGTCCATCAGCTGTGCAGAAACTGCCTAGTGCAGCTTCATAAAGCAGAGATGGAAGGAAAATCAGTAATTTGGGGAGGGGGGAACAGAGGGGAGAAAAAGCAAATCCCTTACCCCTCCACCCACCTCAGGACCCATTTAAGGGTTCTGCTGCAAAGGTCAGCATTGTATTTTTTGGTAAAAAAGAAAACGGGTCTTCAAAAGTGTAACTTTCCAGGCTGCCATGTTAATCAGGAAAAGCTTCAGGCTGTTTTTACTTCAGCAATGCTGTGGCTTAACAAAGTTTTCGTATCAATAATTGCCTCTTTTGTCCCCCCCACTGCCAGATACAACCAATAAACTTCCTTGAGATACACTGGAAATGTGATTTTACTGGACAAATCAGGTATCCCTTGCCTGAATACAGTATCAAGTAAAAAAAAATAAAAGCAAACAGGATATTAAATATAAAATATTAGTTAAAATAGTAACCCTAGTAATAACTTAAGGTTTTACACACAAAGGGCAGCAGATGTCACTGTCAGTGTTCACATTGCAGGTGCAGCTCCCAGGGTCAGTAGGTCAGTTTGGATGCTCTGCTCTTGTAGCATGGCTGCTCCATCAGTGCAGCTGCAGCGTTCCAGAAGGGAGAGCTGTCACTTCTCATAAGGACCAGCTCCAGCTCTTGGAAGTCCTGGAGTCTGGCAACATCCTTGTCCTTGTAAGGAACAGAGAGAACAACATTATTACTCCTAAACATAGCTGATTATTTTTATTTAAAAAATAATTATAGGAAGTAAAAACCAAAATTCCAGGGATATCATCCCAAATAATAGCAATAAAGAATGAAAAAAAAAATCCTACCAGCATATACACATTAACAGTGTAGCAGGTTTGCTTATTTGGTTTTTCTCCTCAAACTTTTTCTTCTTCTTTAATCTCATTACTATTTGGCTACGTCTGTGCATGTCACTTAACCAAGAATTGTGACCACTTTCATTTACAGACTTCTGAAATACACATTTTTGGAACAGAAGCACAGTTTCATTTGTTAACAGCATATCTTTAAGTTGTTCATATGCCAATTTGTGGAGGTTTTTCCCCTTAACTGTTCATTTTTTTTAGGCAAGCAGACAGTGACGTAGTACTTGGCAATTATGTTAAAAGCACCCTAAATGCACTGTTTCTGATAATTTTTTTAGAAGTCAAACTGTAATAGCTCCATATGCTTTAGGAGCTAAAATACTCTGCCTATTTTGACAAGATTATTTTTAAACAAGTTACAATGAAATTTTAAGAAAGGTCCAGCATCCCTTTGAATCTGTCACTTTAAGTCAGCTTTTATTTAACAAAGGTGACATTTTGCCAATCTTTACAAAAGTACCTCCTCTGATGTTTGCAAAGTGAAAAATCAAGTTAATCCCTTGTTTCTGTTCTTACCTTTCTTAGAAGTGTATTGGGTAGTTTTCTGATCTTCTCTACTTGCTCTGGATTAACGCCCAGTTCACAGCAGCTCACTCTGAGCAGATCTTGATAGGTCAGTTCTTGTCTGTCCAGTTCAATCTCAATGAAGTCATTGTCTCTCAGGTTCTGGACTCTGACCTTGAGTACAAGTTCTGACAGAGAAACAATTAAAAGGTTAATAATAGAAAAGACAACAAACTCAAATCTAACATTTACAGTATTTACTATTATCTTCTGAATTCTGGTTTTTTAATACAGTCCCCATGATCTGAGAAATACTGTGCAGTTAAGCTTCCAGCAAAAATACACAGGAGAACCATGTTAAAGCTGTTGAAACTGATCCATTCAGTCACAAAAGTTGAGTTGTTACCAAACTACTGGAGCTGCATTTGATGCAAATGTAGTGCAGAATTTAAATGTTCATGTTACGTGGATTGATCTTTCCATTGTTTCGCAAAGTATTACCATGGTTAAAATACAGTATAACAGACATTTATGTAACTGAGCAGAAGAAAATTCAGGGCACTTTTGGCCATAGAATTCACCATCTCTGCCACTATTGCACTAGACTCTGAAGTGAAATGATAACTTCACTGTTCACCCAGTACCTGTAACAGAACTAGGAGACACGGCACCTGTTTACCTTGCACGTTGTACGGGAATGTTCCAGTGAAGAAGAAGGGCTGGAAGGCGGGTGCAGGGCTGCTGGGGGAGGTGTCAGGCTGCAGAGGCAAGGCCTGGCCGGGTGCTCCTGGGGAGCAGAGCCCCATGGCCGTGGCCAGGGGGCAGCCAGGGCCGTAGGGCAGCCCTGGGCTGGCACACGCTGAGGCTGCAGCCACGGTGGGCGCTGGGGGTGGCCTGGCTGCTGCACCCGCTGCTGGGAAGGTCTCGCCACTGCTGCACGATGTGGGTGTGCAGATGCTTTCAGCCTGAGCTGCTGATGGACAAGGGCTAGTTTCACTCTGGGAAGCAGAAGAGATGGGAGCACTTTCATTCTGGGATTCTGCCAAGCTGCCTGGATTGCTTTCTTCTGTGTAAATGTTAGGGAATGGGTTGGCCAAGTAGTTTGCAACAATGGATAAATTTAAATCCTTCACTTCTTGACATTCAGTTTGTTCCTCTATTGATGAAGTTCAAAAATGAAGGGTAGGGGATGGAGAGAGAAAAAAATCCATCATGTTACTGAATAGATCTTTCTAATTTTGAATATAGTTACTTTTCCTATTGTGTCTTGAAACTACATCACATTCCAAGATCATCAAAGAATGACACTAATGTTCCAGAAGCATGTAACGCTTGGAGACCAGTAGCTGTAAAGTGAAAGAAAAACCTATAAATACCTTCAGTATATTCTGTTTTTAAAAAACAAAGTGAGGGGCAAAAATAACTTTTGAAAGACACATCATTTCCAGCAGCGCTGTTCCAGGGTTTTCAAATTTATTGGATGACCAGTAGTCCTTTATTGAATCTAATTTTAAAACGCTCTTAATAGCACTGCTGTAAATAGTTTATTATGACCTAGGCCAGCAAATTTAACCCAGTATTTCTTCAAGGAAGTGACTACTTGCTGTAATATTCAAACAAACTCAAGTCCTGCATAAAAGCACTGCAGTTAAGTGACATTCCTGCCTAAGGATTACAGAATATAAATAGTGATGTCAAAGCAGTTCAGAAAGATCTGCTCAATGATGCCACACTCCCAGAATAATCTGGAGCACGGTACATAGATGCTGTTCAGGAGTGTCACACACATATAACTGGGTTTGCTGTGCATATGAAAAGTGTAAGATGGCAGAATTACAGGGCAAAAATTAACCATACCAGCAAGTCACACTATAACAAGGTGCTCAGAAGGCATAACTTCCTGAGTGATAAAACTGTTTTGAGGGGATTTTTAGTATTGATCATGGTCAAACCTGGCAAACTGTACAATTGTGAAAGGCCCCATTTGCACCTTGCATGCCAGCTCTTAATGATAGCCAAGAGGAGTGTAGCAGCAGACTTCCCAAAACTTCCCACACTTCTACTTCTTGGTGACACAGCTCACAAGGCCTTCCTACCTGAAATCCCCACATCTATTTGGCCAACATTAATTCTGGTTATAAATCAGAGCTACCTAATGAGATACAATGGTCCTAGCCAAGGTTTTGCCTGTTAACTGTTTCAGATAAAAGCACTAAAAACATTTTAGTATTTAGATCAAGAATTCTAGATGACTTTTAAAATGGGAAAGGTACCTCCCAAAATCTTGCGGATGTCTGGTCTCGATGTTAGCTGTGCCGGCAGCTCTCCCTTAGCAGTGAGGATCTGCTTGTCTGCGCCAGCCTCCAGCAGGCAGGACACCACCTGGGCATGGTTCCGCTTGCAGGCCCAGTGCAGGCACGTCCTGCAGGAAGGAAGCACAAGGGTTGGGATTCCTCAGCAACCCCGTCCTACCTCACCGAGTTATGCATAGAGTGATAACTGGGAATAAAGTTTCCTTCATTGCCGCACTGTCTAAAGTTCTGAATCTCTAAGTTATGCAGGGCAGGGCCCTGCTTTGCCTTCCAGAGCGCCTCCCTGGACGGGGACCTTGTGCAAACACGCAGTGACAGGTGAAAGGAGGGCGACCTGCTTTTATCGTAATCCTCTTCAGCAGTAAATCTCCGATCCTCCCGAGATTACCTTTTCTGTATTTGCAAATGGGAAAACTAAGAAACACAAAAGTAAGCAACTCCCAGAGCAGCCCGCTCACTCCGCGCCTGCTGCTGAGCTGGGGGTAGCCCCGAGCCCGAGCAGCCCGAACCCCGCCACCGAGCGGGGCAGCGGGGAAGAGCCGGGCCCCGCAGGCCCGCCCCTGTGCCCGCAGCGCCCGACCCGCACCGCCGCCCCTCACCAGCCATTGATCTCGTTGCGGGAGTCGATGTCCGCCCCCGCGCCCAGCAGCCGCCGCACCTCCGCCACGTCCCCCAGGGCCGCCGCCTCTCGCAGCCGCTCCTCCAGCTCCCGCGCCTCGGCCGCCCCGCTCATGTCCGGCTGCGGCCCCTCCCCGCCGCTCCGGAGCCCGCCGGGAGGGGCCCTCAGCGCGGCGGGGCCGGGGCCGGGCCCTTCCCGCCCCGGGGCCCTTCTTCCCTCCCGCCCCGGGGCCCTTCTTCCCGCCCCGGGGCCCTTCTTCCCGTCCCGGGGGCCTTCCTTCCCGTCCCGGGGGCCTTCCTTCCCGGCCCGGGGCCCTTCTTCCCGCCCCGGGGCCCTTCTTCCCGCCCCGGGGGCCCTTCTTCCCGGCCCGGGGCCCTTCTTCCCGCCCCGGGGGCCCTTCTTCCCGGCCCGGGGCCCTTCTTCCCGCCCCGGGGCCCTTCTTCCCGCCCCGGGGGCCCTTCTTCCCGTCCCGGGGGCCTTCCTTCCCGCCCCGGGGGCCCTTCCTTCCCGTCCCGGGGCCCTTCCTTCCCGCCCCGGGGGCCCTTCTTCCCGGCCCGGGGGCCCTTCTTCCCGTCCCGGGGCCCTTCCCTCCCGCCCCGGGCCCTCACGGCCGCCGCCATCTCGGGCGCGGGCGGGCGGTGCTCCCCCGGCTGGCAGCGGCCCTGCTCTGGATTTTGTGTCCCGTCCGCGGCTCCTCAGCACGGGAAGGGTCCAGCCAAGGCCGCAAGATGGTGAGGGGTCTGGAGCATCTCTCTCATGCACAGACATTCTGCGAGCTGGGCCTGTTTGGTCTGGAGAAGACTGAGAGGGGATCTCATCAGTGCATTTCAGTATATCCAAGGAGTCGGAGGATGCTGTCAGACTCTTTTCATTGGTGTCCAGCGACTGGACGAGGGGCAATGAGCATAAAGGAAAACACAAAATGTTCTACCTCAACACTAGGAAGAGCTCCTGTACATTAATGGTGGTAGAGCTCTGGAACAGCTGCCCAGGAAGGCTGTGTAGTCTCCTTCTCTGGAGACATTCCAGACCCACCTGGACACATCCTGTGTCACCTCCTCCAGATGAAGCTGCCATAGCAGGGGTTGGACTGGATGATCTCCAGAGCTCCTTTCCAACCCCAATAATTCTGTGATTCTGAGGGCCCCCTGACCTCAGACACTGAAATGGGGGCCTGGACCAGGTAAAAATCCAAGACTGGATTTTTTCCTCTGATGAGTTCATCCTACCTTCCCCTGACATCCTGAGCCCTGTGTGGGGACTTGAGGGGAGAGAGCTCCTGGGAAGAGGGAAAAAGCTGCAGGCAAAAACTGCCTGCTGGCAAAACCACTTTATAGAATTATTTAGGTTGGAAAATACCTCCATGGTCTTTGAGTCCAACCCATCATCTATCACAGTGGTCTTGCCCTTTTTGGGGTGTTTTTTAACCAGCAGCCTGGCTCCTGCCTTCGAGCTGTGAGGCTGCCATGGGGCGGGGAAGGACCACAAGGATGGGTTCAAATCCACAGCTTTCCCCATACACTTCCAGCCCTGGAAGCCCCAGTTCCCAGCCCTTCCCTCTCCAGCGTGTTGCTCACATTCTTAATTAAATCACTGTGGCGTGTGTTGGGGAGCTCACTGAACTCCAGCCTTTTTGTCTTGGCATCAGTGTCTGCCACCAAGGAGCAATTTTCACTAAGATTTTTTTTCTTTGCCTCTCTTTTATTGCTTACTTTTCTTAATAGTGATACTATTTTAACCTACCATTTAATTTAGGGCTTGGGTTGCTGTTGCTTTGCTCTGCCGTTTCTTCTCTGGTAGTTAAGGCCATTAGGTGAAGATGATGCCTGCAGCATTACCATCCAAACAGTTCCTGAATATCTTTCCATATAAATGAAGCTTCAAAGCACAAATATCCATCTTCCTTTTAATCAGTCAGGCGAGGCAGAGGCCCACAGGCCAAATGTTTCTCTAAGAGAGATGCAGCCCTGCAAACCACCCTCATGAAAGCTGGAGGGAGAAGCAAGCAGTGACATTTTTAACTACTGTGGCAAAGGTTACACGGTGACTCAGTGGCAAGTTTTTCACCCCAGATCACATGCTGTTGATCCCATGCAAGAGACTGAACAAAAATTTTGCCCAGCTGCTACCAAAAGACTCAACAAAACATATGAAAAACAACTGGATTTGGAGAATGGTTTGTAAAGAAGATTTACCTGATGACAGCTGCAAATTCAAGCCGTAGAGACCTGGAAGACCAGCCCTCAACTGGACCCTGCTGTGACCTGAATATTTGTGTTTTAAGTCGTTTGCTTTTTCAGTAAAGGCATCTTAAATGATCACTCTTTAACCCACAATCTCTTTTGTCTTTTTTTCAGTGTCTGTGCCATAAAGCCATAAAACAAAGACAAGGCACAAACAAATGGGGACCTAGTGATACATTCTAGGGAGCAGAGTGCCCTCTTGCACACCGTGAAAGCTTTAAATCCCGATTGTTTACATCTGAAAAAAATACAGTAGGATTAGTGGCAAAAGAGCTTTTTCCAAAGTAATACAAGACAGCTTTCAGATGGATGGGGAAAAGCTGCTGAGGAGGTGAGTGCAGGGACAGGCCTAAAACTAGGAACAGCACTCCTGTGGTGTTCTCCAGTGCCACTGCCACTAGATGTCACAGTGGAACAGCAAGAGGAGCCTGGAGTGTGGCTTGGTGCTTCTTGCTGTAATTGTGAAATGCCTTTAAATTTGTCTTGGCACATCCATAGTGTCTCCATGCAGCTTTGATCCTGCAGATTTCAAAGCTCCGTGTGGTGCAAAGGGACATTATGCAACATTTCCACACGAGTGCAGGGAAACCCAGTGCAGGGAGCTGCGGGGGTTATGGGCTTTTTTCTTTTCTTTTTTTTCCCCCTCTACTTGAGCTCCTCTCCCAAAGCCACACAGGGCTTTTAAGGACTCTGAGCCGGTGGTGATGCACTGAGATGCTCTCTCTCACGCTCTCTTGGGATGAGTATCCTACTCTGTTGCACCTGTGCCAAGCCTTGTTAAATGGAGCTTGGGTTCACCATTGCTTAGTTACACAATGTACTTCTCCCTGGAGTCATGAGATCTCCAAGGAAGGCTGTGTGCAAGAGGATTAGCAGCGAGTTCCCTTGACTCCAACCTCCCCACCGCCGCTCTGCCCCACACATGGAGCCTCAGAGCCCCTCGTACTCGTGTGTCCCCTCCGCGCTTATTGGCACTGGTGTCACACTCACCAGCCCCAGCAGAGCCAAGAACTTCTCCTTTCCCATAGGATAGCTGGGTTTGTACACACACACACACACACACACCTCCCTGCCAGGAGCAGCAGGGCCTGCAGGACCTGCAGGCACGGGGCAGGTGCAGCTGGGCGCTGCTCATCGCCTTTGGGAGCTGCTGGAATTGCACATGCTGCTCGTGGCTGGAGCAGCCCCTTTGCCTCCCAGGTGTTAAAAGACCTTGGCCTTCAGTGGGAACAGGCTGAGCTCTGTGTTTGGAGCCCAGGTCGCTGTTGTTTTGTTTCCTTTGTGGTTTGCAGGTGCTCAGTGCTCCCTGTTCCCCAGCCTTGGGCACAGCCCTGAGCCCCTGGCTTTGCCTGCACCTCGCTGTCACAGCCTTGCAGTGACCACAGGGGAGGCTTGGGCCAGTCTTTGTTCCCACAGCAAGCTTGCCGGATTTTTTTGGTTATGTGTTAATATATGTCTTTATGCAAGCTTCTGACTGTGCCTGATCCTCTGGATTAATTTTGTTCTGCTTTTTTTTGAGAAACCATGGTCTGTCTGTTTGCGATTTGCTCCTGATTTTTTTAAGGCTTATGAAGATTTTTATTCCCTTTGCATTTCAGGTTTCATTCCCCACATAACTTCATTCCTCCTATTAAACCAACTTCTCAGTCACTGAAAGTTATGATTAAACATATTTTTAAAGGCTTAATTCCCAGTTACACAGTGATACTGACAGCTGTACAATCATCTTTGAAACACTCGTCCCCACCCAACCCCACCAAAATAATGTTTCTGGCAATCTAAACCAACACTGCAGTTGTGGACACAACTGCAGTTGTGTGAGAAATGAGATTTAGGTGTACAAACCTTAAATATGGTACTTAATGCACACTCACAGATGTACCTGTTTACCTGTTACCTGATTAAGGCTCAAGGAAATGGAAGAATTGGTGAAGAATAAAGATGAAATTAAAAGTCAAGCCCAATATTCATTTCGATTGAAGCTAATCTGTGCTGCTCACACTGGACCTTTCAATGAGTTTGAAGGCAGAGGAGACAATTTCAAAGGAGGAAGTCAAAGGCACATGGGAGCAGCAGTTTATGCTATACCTGTGATTGTGCTCACCCCATGGAAGCCCCCTCTGAGCATCTGTAGGTGGATTATGTTAAATTTAAACCTCCACATTATCAAGTCTGAGCCTGTGTCACCCAACACTCACTTCATGTCCATGGGGGAAACATGCAGCACAGAGGCAGATACATCTTTTCCCAGGGCAAGGGTCTAAAACAGCACAGCCAAATCACCTCTGGAGGTGCCCCTTGTGTTCTACCCCCTGCCAAAGGATCCAAAGAGAATGGGCTTTGAACCAAAAAATTTCCAGCTGCCTACTGCCAGGCAAGATGAGCACCTGAGGCAGGGTGGATAGGGCTCTGCTAAATAATAGTTCCTCTATTTCTGATGAGATAAAAAAATTCCTTCCAGTGAACTCCAGAATTGCAGAGAACTCACCCATCATCTTTCTTTTGACCATAAATGATAGCTTTTTCACTAAATCACCTGGAAGGAATTGCTACACTGATAGTGGTACAGAGAACTGGGATTCAGGACAGGTTTTAGCAGCCTGGAGCATCCCTGAATTTCAGTGCTACCAGCTATCTCATGGATTTTCAGCCCTGCTGAGCATCCTGCAGGGGCTCAAAGGGAGCTGAGTGTCTAAAGAGGGACATTTAAGCAGGTGTGAGCACACACTCCTGCACACAGCTGCACATGCCTGCAGCATGGAGTGAAATTTGACAGGAAGGGTTTGGCAAATGGCATTTATATTTGGGGGAATGGTGATCTGCAAAGGAAAGATCTGCTCAGGGAGCCAAATGCCTTTAGAAATCAGGCATGGTGTGCGGCTGATTTTTTTTTTTTTTTTCCCAGTTGTTAATTTAACCTTATTTCTGTTTGTAGAACAAATAAATAAT